GGGAGGGTGCCCAAGCCTTTATAACCCACATGCCCACCATTTTTCCCTTTCAATGTGGGATCCTAACATTCCACCACATTGATAGGAACCCACTCCAATAACTCAACAATTTTGGGTTGGGCCATGGGTCTTTCATGGGCTTGGGTAGAACTCTCTTTGGAAAACCAGCTTGCCAAGGGAGGGTGCCCAAGCCTTTATAACCCACATGCCCACCCTTTTTCCCTTTCAATGTGGGATCCTAACATTCCACCACGCTTCTGCAATCGACGTCGGCGTCGGCCTCTTTACCCCAGTCGGCCTCTTTACCTCTTGGGTGACTACGCGGATCCCCTTTCCCTCGGGCCTCCATGCCCTTTCTCGGGATAGCAGCTCGAGCCCAAGGTTAGCCTACCATGCGTGCGCTATCATATAGACGCAGGATTATGCTTTGATACCAATTGATAGGAACCCTCTCCCATAACTCAACAATTTGGGTTGGGCCATGGGTCTTTCATGGGCTTGGGTAGAACTCTCCTTGGAAAACTGGCTTGCCAAGGGAGGGTGCCCAAGCCTTTATAACCCACATGCCCACCCTTTTCCCTTTCAGTGTGGGATCGTAACAGTTTCAGTTTAAGATGTATGAACTAAAATAATCTACCAGTGCTCATTTTTGCTAAAAAAAAGAATCTGAAACTAAAATTATGTGATTAATTCTATTACCTCTTCTTTGCTTGCTGGTGATTTTTCAATTTTCAATATTTTTGAGTATACCTCTTCTTTAAACATTGGGCACTCTATAGATATTGAGTAATTTTTCATAAACAATCTGTGAAATCTGTTTAAAGATTGTAATTCTAAAAAACGATCATTTACCCACAATCAATTGAGAAAGAATGCTATATCCAAACTATCTGGTTTAGTTGCATTTTAACCTTTATTGAAGTCATATAAAATTCTTCTTAATCTTCTTCCTTATTGTTGGAAATCATATTGCTTCTCTTTACATTATTTTTGTGGATACCTGGACAATGAGGTAACAAGATAGAGATCTTATCAAGACTATTATAAAATGGATCTGCAGCAACTGTACATTCCCCTTCCAGTCCTATACTAATCTACATGCCTTTTAAAGCTTCACATTCTTGATTCTATTCGTGGTACCACTTCATGTATATATAAATTCATAAAAGGTTCTTGTGCAGATGAGATGATCTTCTTCTATGCTAAGGGTGAGATCTAGTTGACATATTTTAGACGTGTTCTGTTATTATTTACTGTTGTTTTAGGTCTGATATTATTTTTATTTAATATTTTGGTCAGTATGGTTGTGTGCTTGGTATATCCATATCACTGAGTTTTCATGGCTAGTTAGAACTTGGAAGAATGTTCTTGACTCCAAATTTTTTGACTGAGCTAGTAGGAGTTGAGTTGCAGACTGAGACAATAAGGGAGTGGATACTGCACCAGTTTGTTGATTGCTCACCAACCAGTGAGTGTCATCATTATGATGTATATTTTCAATGATATATTACATTGTCATTACTCTAAAAGACAGAATTTTGATGGGCTATTGATTTTCATTTGTTTCCTGTTCCATATTTGTACAAAGTCAACTGTTGCCCTTAGCACAAATACAAATTGGATGTGCTATGGACCTAAAAATTAGGGAAAAAGGCCTAAAGGTGCATTCACTACTCAACATCCTGCACATTTGAAAGAATGAAACAATACATAGGAAGCTATGTCAAAGTGTTGCAATAACAGATAGAGAGCTCTTTGGTTTCTGTACTGATTAATATTGTGATAGGAACCCACTCCAATAACTCAACAATTTTGGGTTGGGCCATGGGTCTTTCATGGGCTTGGGTATAACTCTTCTTGGAAAACTGGCTTGCCAAGGGAGGGTGCCCAAGCCTTTATAACCCACATGCCCACCATTTTTCCCTTTCAATGTGGGATCCTAACAGAAACTAAAAAGTTATACAAACTTGCTCATTCTGATTGGAACAAGAATCTTCTGCTTACATAGTTGAATGACATAAATCACTCTATATTTTCTGTTAATGTACCTTCGTCAGCGCATCCTTATTAGTTTCCATACCCGAATAAGAAACAACATAAACATATGAGATATAGCTTGCTTAATGACTCCATATAATTGTTTTTCCCAAGGGCAACATAAGTTTGCTATGTTATAATAAACTATTTAACTTACCAAGTCCATGTGGAGAAAGGTGATGAATTCTAGTACTAGCAAATAATCTGTTAATTAAAAAGGCAGGCAGAAAAATCATAAGAAGGTGATACTGTGAAATCATGACGAATGTATAAAAGCAAAAACATAACAGATTAAATTTCTTATCTATGTAAACATACTTCTCATATGCAAATTCAATACGGGTATTCTGTAAGATCCACACAAAAACATGTTCTTTTCTAGCATCCTTCTCACCAAATTATGAAACTGAACTCAATAGGAGAAACATAAACTTCAACATTCTCGCGTTAACATATATATAAGCAGATAAAATGAATCAAATATCTCAATTCTCGAAGCTTAAGAATTGTATTGGCATACAGTGATTGCATAAAGAAAAACAAGTTGGTAGAAGGCCTAGCTTTATAAATTGAAATAAATTTTCTAGAGATCCATACTTTCTTCATATCATCCAAAGTTGTCAATTCACCCTGCAAATGACCAAAACTCCACAAGTGTTAATTTTTTTTTTTTTAAAAAAAGGGAATATTAAAAAGCCTAGAAAATAGATAAATGTAAATAAAAAGAGAACACACACCGTCTCTAAAATTATCAATGTGCCACTTAGAAGGAGAGAGATCCATAGCTTCTAAGACAAAATCAGTCCAATAACTCTACTCGAAAAAAGAAAGTTTAATTGATTTCCAGTCAGTCCAATAACTCTACAAATTAAAGAACTCATGGGAAGGCAAACTGGAACTGCCACTTAGCAATCAGAAAATTTGCGGGAGGCTTATTGGTGAAGAGCCTGACTGAAACAACCTTAGTCTGCTTATTCACCCCAATAATTATGGCAGCCAAGGAGCAAATGGTAAAGCCAAAAACCTCAGAACCAAGTCAAAATTAATCACTCTCTTCTTTTCTTCCCCATTCTGCCCTTTATCCCATCCATTCAAATATCCCTAGAAACCATGACTGAGTGAAATTCGCAATACAAAAAGTTGTAGTGACATTATTTTCAGAAAAATGTGTTATGCTTTACACATCTAAAACCCAGAAAGAAAATTCAATCAATAAGGAAATCAAGATACCAGAACAATATGCCTCTCCACCATTTTTGCTCTCAAAATACAATACTAGCTACAATAAATGATGGTTAAAATTGCAACATTTAACATGTATAAAATGTTTCTGAACACGGCAGAAATATCCTGAATAGAAAAATCTTCCATAAAAGATACACGGCATAACTCTGCAAAAGAAACAATATTAATCAGTACAGAAATCGTAGAGCTCCCCATCTGTTATGGCAGCACTCTGACATAGATTCATATGTATTGTTTCATTTTTTAAAATGTGTAAGACGCTGAGTAGTGAATGTACCTTTAGGCCTTTCCCCCTAATTTTTAGGTCTATAGCACATCCAATTTGTATTTGTGCTAAGGGCAACAGTTGACTTTGTACAAATATGGAACAGGAAACAAATGAAAATCAATAGCCCATCAAAATTCTGTCTTTTAGAGTAATGACAATGTAACATATCATTGAAAATATACATTATAATGATGACACTCCTTGGATGGTGAGCAATCAACAAACTGGCGTAGTATCCACTCACTTACTATCTCAGTCTGCAACTCAACTCCCACTAGCTCAATCAAAAAATTTGGAGTTAAGAACATTCTTCCAAGTTCTAACTAGCCATGAAAACTTAGTGATATGGATATACCAAGCACACAACCATACTGACCAAAATATTAAATATATCAAACCTAAAACAACAGTAAATAATAACAGAGCACGTTTTTTAGATCTCACCCTTAGCATAGAAGAAGATCATCTCATCTGCACAAGAGCCTTTTATGAATTTATCAATACATGAAGTGGTTCCATGAGAAGAATGTGAAGCTTTCAAAGGCATGTAGATTAGTATAGGATTGGAAGGGGAATGTACAGTTGCTGCAGGTCCATTTTATAGTTTATAATAGTCTTGATAAGATCTCTATCTTGTTACCTCACTTTTCTAGGTATCCACAAAAATAATGCAAGGAGAAGCAATATGATTTCCAACAATAAGGAAGAAGATTAACATGAATTTTATATGACTTCAATAAAGGTTAAAATGCAACTAAACCAAATAGTTTGGATATAGCATTCTTTCTCATTTGATTGTGGGTAAATGACCGTTTTTAGAATTACAATCTTTAAACAGATTTCACATATTGTTTATGAAAAATTACTCAATATCTATAGAGTGTCCAATGTTTAAAGAAGAGGTATACTCAAAAATATTGAAAATTGAAAAATCATCAGCAAGCAAAGAAGAGGTAATAGAATTAATCACATAATTTTAGTTTCAGAATTTTCTTTTTTTTTAGCAAAAATGAGCACTAGTAGATTATTTTAGTTCATACATCTTAAACTGAAAATAAAAAGTTATACATACCCTGCTCATTCTGATTGGAACAAGAATCTTCTGCTTACATGGTTGAAGACTTCACTTAAGTTGGTGTTTCTTGACAGAATTATCATCCCACAAACTCAGACAGCTTAAATTATCAAGACACAATTAGGAAACTTCCAACAGCAAAGTGGTATTGTCTACTCCCTAATAGATATTATAAGGAAACACTAACGATTACGAACAAATTGATATAATCTCACAAAGAAAAGTGGTAACGATACAGTAGTACCTTGATATATTGTTGTAATGAAAAAAATTGGAGCAGAGAATATGCACCAGTCATATGAACTCCAGCAGTAAGGTCAAAGTAAGCACAAATACTCTTCTTAAATGATTTAGAAACTTAAAGACTAGCTGACATTATTTTCAAAAAATGGTCTTCTGCTTTACAAATCTAAAACCCAGAAAAAGAAATATTCAATCTATGAGGAAACCAAATTACAAGGACAAGATGCTTCTCCACCATTTTTGCTCTCAAAATACAATACTAATACATTCAATTTATTTTCGTAGACACTTGTTGCCCTTGCCTGCAAATACAATGTACCAACATCATTTACCTGAAAAGAAATTTCATTAAAATTTAAACCAAATAACGGGCTGTAAAAAAAAAAAAAAAAAAATCAAATTAAAACAAAGAACATCACATCCCAGAAACAATACTTACCAATAGATCCAACAAGGAATATTTACCATCATTCTAGATGCACATTGCTTCACTTTGTAGGTCTTATCTGCAAAACAAAGTTCGCTGTTTCAAACACCAATATCAATATTTATCCCAAAAATTGTCCACAATCATCAAGACCTCTCATCTCCTCAAAGTTGCAAAATAATTGACAGGAAAATAAATTTCAAATTAGAACAAAGCCCAGAGTTTAAATATCAGGATTCTAACCACTAATACCAGAAGAATGCAACACCCAGATACCCAAAGGCCAAAATCCCTTATATTTTCTTCAGTTAAATTATTGATTTAAAATTTTTTTACTAATTAAATAATAATTTAAATCCTTCCAATTGGCTGCCCGCCGCTAGTAGGAACTATACCCAAAATACCCTCATATTTTTGGTGCTAAATTATAGATTTTAAATTCAAAAATAAATCCGAAAATAAGTAAATAATATTCCTCCAACGGCTCTTTTAGGAGCCGACTCAAACTAGTATATAACTCTGCCTCTGCCTCTGTCCCGCCCATTCCCTTATTTCCAAATTCCCCCCAATCTCTTTATTTCTCTCCAAGATTTTCTCTAACGTTTACCTCCTCTGCAATCATGTCGCTAACCCTTCCTCCTGGCTATAGGTTCGTTCCTTCTGATGCTGAATTGATTGGCTTCTATCTCTACAACAGGGTACATAATTTACCTTTTCCCTGTGATATCGTTCTAGAATGTGACCTCTATGGCATTCTAGAACCCTGGCAAATTTGGGAAATGTATGAAGGACCCAAATTGTGTAAGCAAGATCTCTACTTTTTCACCCCATTAAAGAAAATATCCAAGAAGGGTTCAAAGATTTGCAGGAGGGTCGGTTCTGGAACGTGGAAGGGGGAAGATGGAGAAACAGAAATAAAAGATGAAATTACCCACATGAAAATTGGGTCCAGGAAAAGGTTCCGATATGAGAATAAAGGCTCGGAACACCATGCGGGTTGGATAATGCATGAGTATAAACTAATTGGGCATGATGTGTTTGTTTTCTGTAGAATTCGGAAGAATGAAAGTGATGAAGACGCGGTTGTGAAGAAAAGAAAGAGAAAGTGCAACTCCAAAGAAGGAAAGGTTGAGAAGCATCTCTCCAAATGCTCAAGGGTTGAAGAGAACCCAGTGCATTCACAATTGCAATGTGTGGATGAGAATGAGGGTGAGGCTCAGTCTGAATGTGAAGCACCGTCACCACCGCAATTACTTGGAGAAGAAGTTACAGATGACGATTACTCTAGCTTTTTTGAAAATCTTATTCTCATACCACAGTCTGAGCATGAGGCAGAGGCAGAAGCAGAGGCTCATTCTGAATTACTTGCGGAAGAGGTTAATGATGATACAACAGATGATGATTACTTTACCTATCTTGAAAAGCAAGTTCTGATATCACAGTTTGAGAATGAGAATGGGCATGAGCATGAACCTGAGCCTCTATCGGTTGGAGTTGGAGGAGAGTTTATTCCTGAAATCAGAAATTTTTACTCTTCCAGTATTGATGAGCTTTTTCCTGGAGAGAATTTTACAGATTTATTATTGGAGAAGAGGGTTTTTCTGATATGACAGATTCCAAAAAATTAGATGGAAGAGCTGTTTGTTCTTGTGTTAGAATTAGCTATCATTTGCAATGTAGACGTATAGTTATATCTGTTTCAGCTTCTCTAGAATTGTATTTTGTTTGGCAAAATTAATAAAAAAGATAATGTTGGTTTTGTTGCTACTTCAGTATAAACCCTAAAGCAATCAATAACTTTTATGTTTTGAATGAATGAACTCTAAAGTGTTGTTCTACAATTGTTAATGGAGTATTTCTGTTGCTTGGCACATCTGTTCACGAAGTTATCATTCTTATCAGCATCTTGAATCTGATTAGTCTTTTTCAACTTGTGTTGCACACCACTAGTAAAAGGATCATCCACCTCTTGAGAAGGCAAATAATAGATTCTCCTATCAACTGCTGTCCAACAAAGAGGTGGCGGAACATAAAAGCGTCTCTGGAAGAAAGGATGCTGCAAGGCCTCTGCAGCAGTTGGCCTCTTGCAAGGATCCCAGGAACAAAGTGATTCGATAAGGCTGACAGCTTCTTTACTCACCGAAGGTAGCAACATAGAGACATTCAAACCAGTTAACTCTGGAAATCGGTAGTTAATAGATCTCACTCGATAAAATCCATCAGCCCAAAAATCCCCAGTAGAACTCCCTATCACACTGCATATTTTGTACATTTCATCTCCCTCATTAGCCCCCCGAAAGAGAGGACTAAGTGTGAATAGCTCAACCATTATAGCTCCCATTGCCCACATATTAACTTTAGAGCTATAAAACTGTGAGTGAAGCAACACCTCCTGGGCTCGATACCAGCGCGTCGAGACATACTCTGTGTACAGTGGACATGAATCAATCTCCCTTACAAGACCAAAATCAGCAATCTTGATCACATATTTCAGAACAAGCAAGTTCTCAGGCTTCAGGTCCCGGTGGAAATATCCATTCTGGTGTAAGTAATTCAGACCCTGGAAAACTTGAAAACACAACCTTCGAACTTCAGCTTCAGCTTCAGAGATTCTTTCTCTCTTTCATTAGTCCATAAAGGTTATTGTTGAAGTGAATGCTCGAAACTTCACCGTATTGGAGATTAGTGGAACGTTGTTGTTTGGGTCAGTTTTGAGTTGGATCCTGACCATAGATCCAACTTCAATCCAATGCCTAGAGATCACTCTACGGGTCAACGATATAAAAGGGAAGAAAAAATTTCAGTTCACCCCAATTTTCTCTTTCGAAGCATTCTCTGTAGTTGTTGTGTTCTCTGATTAGGGTTTGAAAAATTGACGTGAGCTGGAAGAAGAAGATGAAGGCTCTTCTTTTCCATAACAAAGTCAGCCTTGCGCTGGGAAAGGATCTCAAGAAGTGGTTTGAAGAGAAACTAAAGAAGGAGGAGATTGACGAAGAAGCTTATAATCTGATCGTGATAAACCTCTTAGACATCATAATGAGGAAGGTTGATGGAATCGAAACCTCTCTGGGGTTGTGGGGTAAGCTCGAATCTCTGTATGCTCTTCAATCTGCTCCCAACTTAGCTTTCCTTAAAGGTGCTCTATTTTCTTATAAGATGGACAACAATAAGACCATAGATGAAAACCTAGACGAATTTTTGAAAATGACCCTCATTCTAAAGGGAACCGATCAAGAATTAGGGGAAACCAATATTGCCATGATATTACTAAATTCATTAATAAAAGACTACCAAGTAGTCAAGAATGCTTTGTAGTATTTTGGTACTGTCCGTAGTTTTGACTTAGTAGTAGTAAGACTTAAAGCTAGGGAACTAGAATTGAAAGTACATAAACCAAATGGTAACAACTAGGGGCGGGACAAAAAATCCGAAAATCGAACCGAACCGAAATTTTGGTTTTGTTTTAAAACCGGTTCGGTTCGGTTCGGTTTGGACAAATTAAAAAGCCATATAACCGGTTAACCGAAACCGAAAAATAAAACCGGCTAGAAAGCCATAAGTATATATTCAATATAAAATTCTAAAATAAAGTTTTCATTTTACACTAAACACTCCACCGCCACCACCCATCCATCCACCATCCCTACTGAATCAGTTAACCTTTCTCATCACCGTAACCTTTCTCTTCGGCGAACGCAGACAACAGTGACCCCCACGATCGTCGATCACAACTCCACGAATGATCAGCGAACGATTCAGCAAGGTAAGTTGTGACCTGATTTCAATCTCTGATTTAGCCCATTTCTTCTTTTAATTCATTTGTTATGGGTGCTGTCAACTTATTGAGATTCATTTGAGCTGATCATGTTAATTAAAATAGAGGTTTTGTTTTGTTGGTTCTGAACTTCTGATGGCCATGCGGTGTTTTTTTTTTTTTTTTTTTTTAATTTGTGCGAGTATGGTTGCGGTGATCATGCGAAAGGTGTCATTTGTTATGATGTTATGTTGTGTGGGTATGAAAAAGGTAGAGAGTTGTTGCAAGAGGAGAGTTAAAAAAAGCATAGAAGATGTTTGATAAAAAGCCCGAACGTTTTTTTTGCTTCTGGTTTTTTCTAAGCATAGAAGATATCATTTGTTATGATGTTGTGTTGTGTCTAGATTCCTTTTAGAAGTGGAACGTGTAAACTGCCTGTTGAAAAGTGATGTTAATTAATTAATTATATGCATGAAGAAGGAACTGATTATGTAAACGAGCTACCTACTTATGATGTATGCTGGTTTGATTAATTAGTTTAGTATGCTGATATATATTGTCATTGATGATTAAATGGTTTGTTTTGTGTGCAATTGTGAAGTTATCAACAATTTTGTATGCTGGTTTAATTAATTAGTTTAGTATGCTGATTTAATTAGTTTAACTTGAATTGTTGATAATTATTTATTGTTATTATAGTGCTGAAATTTTGATCATTATTTCTTATAATTATAATGCTGAATTGTTGACATTATTTTGCTTTTGCTTCTTATTCAGCTGCAGGTTGAAAAAGTCTTCAGATATGAATGTTGAAGTTAGGGGCGTTTTAAGATGGTTGAAGAAGACTTTTTTTTATTTTAGAGATCCAATTGTAATTTGCAAATGTTTTCACTTTTTATGCTAATGTTTTGATTAATGAGTAATGAGTAATGTATAATTTTTATTTCATATTCTGGATTCAGCATTTGAAAATAGATAATTTAATGTGTTTTTCACACAAAGAATACAACAACAATACCCAAAAAAAAAGTACAACAAGAAATTACATATATTTGAATTTTGGGATTGAGATGTAAAAAATGCATAATTTAGGGTTGAATTGGAAAATCAGTTCAAAACCAGTTAACCGAATCGGATATTCGGTTCGGTTCAACTTCGGTTTATGCATATAACCTGTTCGGTTTCGGTTTAGCTTTTTGCTTGAACCAAATAACTGGTTCGGTTAGTCGAATTATCCCACCCTTGGTAGCAACCTATTTGTTAGGGGTAAACCTAAAACTAGCCAACTAGAAAAGTGAAACCAATTTAGTCAGGGGTCTAGAAACAAGAAAAAGGGTAAATGGAATAATAAACAAAAGTCTGAATCTAGAAAATGTTTCTTCTGTAACAAAACTGGTCACCTGAAAAAGAATTGTTTTGAGTGGCTTAAGAAGCAAAAACATAGCAATACAAAGAGTAATCTTGCCTCCACTAAAAGCCTAGAAGAAAAACCAGAGGTCCTTACAGTGTCTATATCAGACAGTGCCAGAAAGTGGGTATTAGACTCAGG